AACTCTTGGGCTCAAGCAATCCTCTTGCCTCAGTTTTTCTATTTTTAGTAGAGACAGGGTCTTGCTTTTGCTCAGGTTGGTCTTGGACTTGTGAGCTTGAGCAATCCACCCGCCTCGGCCTCCCAGAGTGCTAGGATTATAGGCATGAGCCGCTGTGCCTGGCCTTATTCTTTTTTTTACATTGTTTTTTGGATGCCTGGCCTTATTCTTTTTTTTACATTGTTTCTTGGAGACAGGGTCTTGCTCTGTTGCCCAGGCTAGAGTGCAGTGGCATCATTATCATTACAGCTTCAAACTCTGGGCTTAAGTGATCATCTTGCCTCAGCCTCCTAAGAAGAACTTGTTCTCTTATGCTCAAAACTATGATGATTCTTTTCTCCCTTATCTGAAAGGATTGGCTATACTGAGAAGTAGTGTGGTACAGTAGAAAGCATACCAGGAAATAAGAAACTTCTTGTTTCTTCAGGCTTCCTCTTATTCTTTGTTAACTTAGCTAAGTTTTTTTTTAAATCTCTCTGAGCCTCAGCTTCAGGGCTTTAGACCACTTATCAATATACTGAAATAACGTACTTCTGTACCAGTTGGCAAATGCCCACTGTTCCAAGCTTCCCAACAGTGCTCCGTTCTCTAGTCTCTCCTGGTCTCCCCAAGCTTCATATGACTTACTAATCAAAGGATTAATACTCAGGTGGAGTTCTCAGAGACCTACCACTAGTCCATTTCTGATGGCTCAGTGCCCATAATATCCATATTGTACCAAAAAAAATTTTTTTTTTTTTGAGACAGAGTTCACACTGTCATCCTGGGTAGAGTGCAATGGCATCATAGCTCACAGTAACCTCAAACTTGGGCTCAAGAGGTCTTGCCTCAGACTTCCAAGTAGCTGGGACTACAGGTGCCTGCATGACACCCAGCTAGGTTTTCTATTTTTAATAGGGACAGGGGATGGGGGAGCATCTCACTCTTGCTCAGGGTTGTTTCAAACTCTTGAGCTCAAGCAGCACACCCACCTCAGCCTCCCAGAGTGCTAGGACTACATACATGAGCCACTCTGCCTGGCCAGATTGTAAAAAAATTTTATTTTTATTTTTTATTATTTATTTATTTTTGAGACAGAGCCTCAAGCTGTCACCCCAGGTAGAGTGCTGTGGCATCATGGCTCACAGCAACCTCCAACTCCTGGGCTCAAGTGATTCTCCTGCCTCCGCCTCCTAAGCAGCTGGGACTACAGGCACCTGCCATAATGCCCGGTTATTTTTTGGTTGCAGCCATCATTGTTGTTTGGCAGGCCCAGGCTGGATTTGAACCTGATAGCTCAGGTGTATGTGGCTGGTGCCTTAGCCACTTGAGCCACAGGTACTGAGCCCAGATTATAAAAATTTTTAATACATCTTCCCACTTACACGTGTAAAATGAGATCTTAATACTTAATCTCCCACTGTCCCAAGACTATTATGAAACTCAAAACCAACCATGAATATTGTTATACATTTTAGATGGAGGAGTCATTATTATCACCTTCCAGTAAGTGCTCTTGCTAGGGCCTCTCTGGACCCCAATGGTACTGAGCACAGGGTACTGCCCTTGGGAGGCACTGGGAACGTGATGCCAGCATTCCAACTGACCTCTCTTGGGGACAGCAGGCCGGATGAAGTAGGGGAGCTGCCTCATGGCTCCTCGTAGCTCCTGCTTCAATGCCAGGACATACTCCCCTTCCTCTCCTGAGGGCAGAGGCACTGGATGAAACTCCAAGGGCTAAAGAGGCAGGGGCAGTGGTCAGTTCAGGGAGAAAACACTCAGTACAAATCTAGGAGGGCCTCTCCTCCCAATTTAGTGCAATGTTCAAAATGAGAATTGGGGTAGCAACATAGCACTTTGAAAGCTGGGGACCTGGGAATATTAGAAGAAAGGATAAGACACTGCATAGAAAACATCCTTTGTAAGTTGGGAGTAGAGAGACAGGGAGGAGCGAGATGAAGATGGTTTTCTGATTGCCCAAGAGAAATCCAGGATCATAAACACTCATCAGGGGGTACATGGCAGTCTTGGGAAGGGAGGGGAAACACTCACAGGGAAGAGTGGAGAAGGCTGCAGTGTGGGTGGGGGCAAAGCATCCCCCTTCCCAATGCCCACAGCTTCTGTGTTGAAAGTCAACTGGCCTCGGCCACGGCCCCGGCCCCCACCCCGGCTGGCCATGGTGGGGAGGGCCTGGGTATTTAAAGATCCAGGGAGCAAAACCTGATAAAGACAAGAACACAGAGAAAAAGCACAGTTGAATGTACAGGAAGCCAAGTAAGTACAAGACACTCAGTTTTCTCTCTCTGAGACTTGAAAAGCCAATATCATTCAACTAATTTTGACTAAATAAGGCACAATACTAGGCATAGTACCAGGCAGGGAATCTCTGAAAATAAAAACATGGGTGAGACATAGTCCCAACACAACAGATAATTGCAATATAATGTAATTGCAGCACAAAGGAGAAAGTGATTAGACCCTTGGATAAAACTTGTCTACATCCCTCAGAAAATTTGATGGTTATCACTATCTGTATTTCTACATAAAATCTTTGAATTCTTTCTCTCCCTAGCTTTTCAAACTCAATCAGGCCCCATTTAATCCAGTGCAATGTATTTTAGCAAAACATTTATTAAGCATTTAACAGGAAAAAGGTAGTGTGACAGGCACTGTGGGAACACAGGGATGAGTCACTAATTTCATTGTCAACTAGTGGAAAAGAGACATTATAATCAAATTAATCTTTAACACCACTTGGCTGCCAGAATTTTAGAATTGAGAGGACTCTTAGAGATCATCTAGTCCAAACCCCCTCCCAGTGTAGGACTCTACTCTGTAAATTGTTAGTTATTTAGCTTATTATGGCATTTTCCTAAAGACAAGGTGTCCACTCTCCAGCAAGGCAGCCCATTCCTCTGTGATCAAGCCTGATGAATAGAAAGAGCCTTGCTTTATTGCCCTTGGTAGTGCTGTGGTGTCACACAGCTCACAGCAACCTCCAGCTCCTGGGCTTAGGTGATTCTCTTGCCTCAGCCTCCTGAGTAGCTGGGACTACAGGTACCTGCCACAATCCCCGGCTATTTTTTGTTGCAGTTTGCCCAGGGCCAGGTTTGAACCCACCACCCTCGGTATATGGGGCTGGTGCCTTACCCACTGAGCCACAAGTACCACCCAAAAGTCCCTTCTTCTATTGAACGGAACTCTTCCTTTTGTCATCAACAATGAAAAGCCAATCGGGGTAGCTAGGATGGGGAATAAACTCAACAAATGAAAAATGAACTCGATAGAAATGACATTCCAATCACCACCAGCACACTTACCACCTAGATCTTGGTTTCTAATACCACTTTTTCTGTTTGGTTTTTGAGACACAGTCTCACTTTGTCACCCTGGGTAGCGCAGTGGTGTACTGGAGTCATAGTTTACAGCAGCCTCAAACTCCTGGGTTCAAGCAATCCTCTTGCCTCAGACTCTCTGAATAGGTGGGACTACAGGCACCTGTCACCATACCCAGCTTTCTGTTTTTAGTAGAGATGGGATCTTGCTCTTGTTCAGGCTGGTTTGTAACTCCTCAGCTCAAGCAATTTACCTGCTTTGGCCTTCCAGAATGCTAGGATAACAGGCATGAGCCACTGCTCAGCCTTCTAATATCATTTTCCAATAAAAGGAACCAGGGCTCCATAGAGAAATGGTTGATTCTAAGACAGGGTAGGGGCCCAGAGTTTGAGACCAGCCTGAGCAAGAGTAAGACTCATCTACTAAAGATAGAAAAATTAGCAGAGTATCATGGTGGGCACCGGTAGTCCTAGCTACTTGGGAGGCTGAGGCAAGAGAGTTGCTTAAGCCCAAGAGTCTGAGGCTGCTGTGAGCTGTGACCCTGTGGCACTGAAAAAGCTCCCAATATGTATTAGATTATAACCCAAAAGTATCAGATAAATATTCATGAATTCACAGTGATATAAATAGATGACTTAATACCCAGGGAACAAAATACATATCACTCATGCAGAATTCCAAATAACACTCATTCTTGAAATCCTAGCACTCTGAAAGGCCAAGATGGGCAGATTGCTTGAACTCAGGAGTTCAATATCAGTCTTTTTTTTCTCAAAAAAAAAATAATAATAATGGAAAAAATAAAAATAACAAATAAATTATGTATGAACTCCACTGTAAAAGTGCGGGAGCATAAGTATCTATTCCCTAAGTGTGGACTGTGTATAAAGAATTTTCTCCAATACAATTTTGAAAATCAGAAGGGGGGGAGGATTTACAATAGAGAGACTGAACAAATACTACTTAAGCCAGGTGACCAAGGTCAATATCAACAATCATAATTATGTTGATAGTATGTCCCCTTAATAATTATATGGTGAAATTAGGGCTGGGCATGGTGGCTCACACCTGTAATCCTAGCAGGAGGCTGAGGCAGGAAGGGTGCTTGAGCTTACCAGTTTAAGACCAGCCTGAGGGGGAAAAAAAAAGACCAGCCTGAGTAGGAGTGAGATCCTGCCTCTAAAAAAAATAGCTGGGCATTGTGGCGGGCACCTACAGTCACAGCTACCTGAGAGGTTGAGGCAAGATAATCACTTGAGCTCAAGAGTTTATAGTTGCTGTGAGCTATGATGCCATGGCACTCTACTGAGGTTGAAAAAGTGAGATTCTGTCTCAAAAAAAAAAAAAATTATATGGTGAAATGGTACTTTAACTCTGTAATCATCCTTCCAAAAACCCATAACTCAGTCTAACAATGAGAAAAACATCAGACAAATTCCAGCAGATGGAATATACATCCTACAATATACCTGACTCTTCAGTGAAAACTGTCAAGGTCATCAAATACGGGAAAGTCTGAGAAACTGTCACACTAAAGACGAGCCTAAGGAGGCACAATAACTAAATATAATGGAGCATGTTGGGGCTGGACGCCTGTAGCTCAGTGGCTAGGGCACCAGTAACATACACTGGGGCTGGTATGTTCAAACCTGGCCTGGGCCTGCCAAACAACAATGACAACTACAACAAAAAAATAGCTGGGTGTTGTGGTGGCTGCCTTGTAGTTCCAGCTACTTGGGAGGCTGAGGCAAGAGAATCGCTTAAGCCCAAGAGTTTGAGGTTGCTGTGAGCTGTGATGCCACGGCACTCTACCGAGGGCGACATAGTGAGCCTCTGTCTCAAAAAAAAAAAAAAAAAAAAACCAATGTGGCCAGGATCTTGGGTAGGATCCAGGGACAGGAAAAGAAAATTAGGTAAAAACCAAAGAAATCTGAATCAAGTATGAACGTTAGTTAACAATAATGTATGATTAATGCTTCATTAACTGTAACAAATATGCTATACTAATATACACTGTTAATAACAGAGGAAACTGTGCCAGAGATACATGGGCACTTTTGGTATTATCTGCTCAATTCTTCTATAAATCTAAAATTGTTCTAAAAAATAAAACCTATTAACAAAAAAAGAAACTTGAGAAGTCATTCAAAATTCACAAAAGATTAGTTGACGGAAAAAAGATCTTAAAATAATGAGTAGAAAGAAATCTGGTTTGTCAAAAATACAAACACACTGGCTCCGGGCCTGTTGTGGTTATGGTGCCAGCCACATACACCAAGGCTGGTGGGTTCGAACCCAGCCTTCGTCAACTAAACAACAATGATTACAAAAGAAAAATAGCCAGATGTTGTGGTGGGTGCCTGTAGTCGCAGCTACTCAGGAGGCTGAGGCAAGAGAATCACTTAAGCCCAAGAGTTAGAGGTTGCTGTGAGCTGAGACACCACGGCACTCTACCAAGGGCAACATAGTGAGACTGTCTCAAAAAGAAAAAAAAATACAAACACACACACATGAATTAAAAAGCTGTTCATGAAGGATATACACCAAAATTTTAAAATATTGTAGTTAATTTAAGGTTTTTCTGAGGATTTTTTTGTTACATATATTTTATTTATTTATTTATTTATTTATTGCAGTTTTTGGCCAGGGCTAGGTTTGAATCTACCACCTCAAGTGCATGGGGCCAGTGCCCTACTCCTTTAAGCCACAGGAGCCGCCCTATTTTAATTTTTTTTTAATACTGAATAGGTTCCTGCTATTGTAGTTTTTTTTTTTTTTTTGGCTGAGGCCAGGTTTGAACCTGCCACCTCCAGTATATGGGGCCGGTGCCCCACTCCTTTAAGCCACAGATGCCACCCCCTGCTATTGTAATAAGAGAAGAATATCAATGTAAAAATTAAAAAATATGGTCATATAATAATAGATGAGACTAATAATCTGTAGGTGGAAGGAGAGGATAGAAAAATGTATATCTGAAGAATCTGGAAAGTTCCAAGTCCAACTGCCAGGAAACATTTAAGAAAAAAATTGTTTGTTAACAGATTGAACTGTGATTTATTTGAAAAGAACCTCATAGGGGAGAGAAGAGGTCTCGTGGAGATTAGAGGAAGAGTAAGAATTTGTCATCTGTGCCTTCAGCCCCTTTCAAGGGAAAGGACACTCTAACCACCTGACTTAGGTGTCCTTCCACTTGACAGATACAGTTCTAACAGTTAGAGGTTGCTGCAAGCTATGACTCCATGGCACTCTACCCAGGGCAAGAAAGTGAGATTGTCTCAAAAAACAAAACAAAACAAAACAAAAAGGAAAAAAAAGAGTGGGGGAAACATTATATAAAAATCGTATTTATTATATGGCCTATTTATGAATGTGATCCATATATACATATACACACACAGAGAAAAGAAACTGAAACAATACATGTCAAAATATCAATAATGGTTATCACTACATCATGGTGATGAAATAGGAGGTATTTAAGTATTTTTCTTTATATCATTATGTGTTTCCAAATTTTCTAGCATAAATATGTATTACCTCTATAACTAGAAAACAAAAGGGATGGCTTGCTTATTAAGAATACCGTCACAGGCTCGGCACCTGTGGCTCAAATGGCTAAAGCACCAGCCACATACACCTAAGGTGGTGAGTTCGAATCCAGCCTGGGCCTGCCAAACAACAATGATGGCTGCAACCAAAAAAAAAAAGAATTGCCAGGTGTTGTGGCAGGTGCCTGTAGTCCCAGCTACTTG